AATGGAAGTAGGTGTTCCTGCAACTGCTACTCCTGTCTACTTTTCCAGTAATTAGTCTAAAACTAAAATCCTTAGATTTTAGATAATAACATTTTAGCATTTTCTATATACCTATCCACATGAAAAAATATAGTTTAAATAATCTATAAAATGATAAACTATGGTAACATTAAGCAACTTTATAGAGCCCTGGCTGGTGTAGCTCAGTACACTGAGTGCAGGCCTGCAAACCAAAGGGTTGCCAGTTCGATTCCCAGTCACGGCACATGCCTGGATTGCAGGCCAGGTCCCCAGTTGGGGGTGCACAAGAGGCAAACACATATTAATGTTTCAATCCCTCTCATTCTCCTTACCTTTCCCTCTCTCTAAATATAAATAAAATCTTTAAAACAACTTTATATAAAAATTTTCAAATGATAAAACATACTTCTGAAAATCAAAATATAAGGTACTAAATACATCAAAAACAATGATGTTAGGCGATTCTAAAAACACTGTCACAAACTTTTTTTCTCCCATACTAAATAACTAACATATCATAATTTGTTTAATGAATTCCTGGGAAGCAAGTATCAATCATTGAGTAATCTATGAGTAGTTGCTTCTGAACTGCTTTAAAGAATTATTCTATACTTCACGTGTAGGAAGATATATCATATTTTCTTATTAATGGACTGACCATGTTAGCAGTTATATGCAAATTAGTAATCCTCTTAAATAAAAGTTATTTTTCTTGGGACTTTCAGCCAAGATGGAAGTGTAGGTGGAAATACTGTATCTCCTCACACACCAAATTTAAGGACAACAAAGATTTGGAAACAAAAACACAACCAAAACAGACAGAAAATTGAACTGTACCAAAGTCTGACTACAATGAACCATTCATCCAGACCAGTAAGAGGGGCAGAGTTGGTGGCCAGCTGAGAGGGGTCCTGGCAGGAAGAGGCAGTGGTTGGCAGAACCGGGTACGAGGAGGAAACAAGGTGCACGAGACAGTTGGCTGACTGAGGACACACATTCAAGCGCAGATAAACCAGGCAAAAAATGGGCAGTGAGACAGACTGTGCAACACAGGGCCCCAGCACCAGGGAAATAAAGCCTAAAACCACCAATTGGAAAAACTTTTGGGGGTTGAGGTGCTGGGAGAGGCTTCCAGCCTCACAGGAGAGTTTGTTTGAGAGACCCACAGGGTCCTAGAATGCATACAAACCCACCCACCCGGGAACCAGCACCCAAAGGGCCCAATTTCCTTGTGGGAAGTGGCAGAGGGGACCAAAATCTGAGAGAGTACAGAACAAAGACCATCACTCCCTCTCTGACCCCTCCCCCAGTCACAACCCAGCAACTGGGTTGACCCACCCTGGTGAACACCTAAGCTTTAGCCCGTCATACATAACAGTAGCAACAAGACAAAAACATTATGGCTCAAGCAGAAGAATAACTCAAAGCCCAGGAGCCAATACTTCTAAGCGACCAAGAGATAGCCAGCCTATCAGATGCACAGTTCAAAACACTAGTGATCAGGATACTCACAGAACTGGTTGATTTTGGTAGCAAATTAGATGGAAAAATAAAGGCTACACTAAATCAAATGAAGGAAAATGCACAAGGAACCAATGGTGATGGAAAGAAAAATGGGACTCAAATCAATGGAGTGGACCAGAAGGAAGAAAGAAACATCCAACCAGAAAAGAATGAAGAAACAAAAATTCGAAAAAATGAGGAGAGGCTTAAAAACCTCCAAGGCATCTTTAAACATTCCAACATCCGAATTATAGGGGTACCAGAATGGAAGAGGAACAGCCACAAGTGGAAAACTTATGTGAACAAATAATAAAGGAGAACTTCCCCAATCTGGCAAAGGAAATAGACTTCCAGGACATCCAGGAAGCTCAGAGAGTCCCAAAGAAGGTGGACACAAGGAGGAACACATCAAGGCACATCATAATTGTACTACCCAAGATTAAAATGAAGGAGAGAAGTCTAGAAGCAGCAAGAGATAAGGGGACAGTCACCTACAAAGGAGTGCCTATCAGACTGTCAGCTGATTTCTCAAAAGAGACCTTACAGGCAAGAAGGGACTGGAAAGAAGTATTCCAAGTCATGAAATCCAAAGACCTACATCCAAGATTGATCTATCCAGCAAAGCTTTCATTTAGAATAGAAGGGCAGATAAAGTGCTTCTCAGATAAGGTCAAGTTCAAGGAATTCATCATTACCAAGCCCTTATTACATAAAATGTTAAAGGGACTTATCTAAGAAAAAGGAGTTAAAAATATGAACAGTGAAAGGACAGCAAACTCACAATTATTAACAGCCACACCTAAAAACAAAAGCAAACTAAGCAGACAGATCAGAAGTGGAAGCACAGAAATGGAGATCATATGGAGGGTTACAACAGGGGAGTGGGAGGAGGAGAGGTAGGGAGAAGGTACAGAGAATAAGTAACATAGATTGTGGGGAGAAAATAGGAGGAGGGCAAGAGTAGTGTGGGAAATGTAGAAGCTAAAGAACTTATGACACATGGACATGAACTAAAGGGGGAGAATGTGGGCAAAGGGGGTGTGCAGCATGAAGGGTAATGAAGGGGGAAAATGGGACAACTATAATGGCATAATCTAAAATATATTTAAAAAAGGAAAAAAGTAAGTTTTCTGGAATTATTTGGAAACAAAGAGACAAGGATACATTAGAAATTATTTTTAAGAGTTAGTAGGAACTGAATATAAAAGAGGGAAAAGAGCACAGTTCAAACTTGTGTTGTTCAAGGGTCAAATGTAGATTTATTTCCAAGTGTTTGTGTGATATGTTAAGTCAACAATGAAAACATGGTGAATCCACTGTTCACTACTAGAGATATAAAACTAATGCAGATAAACTTGACTGGTGTGGCTCAGTGGATTGAGCATCAGCCTGCAAACCAAGGGGTCCCAGGTTTGATTCCCAGATTAGGGCACATGCCTGGATTCCACGTCAGGTTCCCAGTGGGGGGTGCATGAGAGGCGACCACACACTGATGTTTGTCTTCCTCTCTTTCCCTCCCTTCCCTGCTCTAAAAAATAAAATTTTTTAAAAGTAGGTTAAATTGTAAAAAAAAGAGAGTGAGAGAGATGTAAATTGTGCATAACTGCCAGACACTTTTTAAGATCTTAAGAGGCGAAACTTAGCAATATTTACCCCAATATTTACCGTTTCTGTGGTTCTTTCACTCCCAAAGTTCCATGTTCTCCTCTGGTAGCACATCCCTTCTACCTACAACACTTCTCCAGCATTTCCTTTAGCACAGGACTACTGGCAACAAAGTAGCTGCCTAATTTTCCTACATGTCAGGATATTTTTCTTTTCCCTCCATTCCTGAAGAATATTTTGGCTGGATATAGAATACTGGGTTGATAGATCATTTCTTTCAGAAGTTTAAAAATATTTTTTCACTGCCTTATATCATAATGGTTTGTAATGAACCTGTACATTATGTGTTGTTTTCTTAGCTACTTTCAATTTTTTTCCCCTCTTTCTTTCAGAGGTGTGTGTATTCTGGCATGGATATGGGTTTGTCTTGTTTGGGGTTCGCTATCCTGAATCTGTAAGTTTAAATTTTTTGCCATTTTGAGAAGTTTTCATCCATTATGTATTCAAAAAATATATTTGTATCAAACTCTTCTCTCCTTCTGAGACTCTAATGATGTGAGTTTTTAGACATTTGGGTAATATTCCACAGTCCCGTGTCTCTGTTGTTTTGGTTTGTTTCCATTTTTTTCTCTTTGTTGATCTACCTTCAGGTTCACTGATTCTGTCCCCTATCAAATTGATCTTCTATTGAGCCCAACAATGAATTTTTTACTTCAATTACTGTGTCTTTCAATGATAAAATTTCCACTCAGTTCTTTTTTATAGCTTTAGTTCTCCCTTGAGAGGCTCTACCTTGCCATTCATATCACCTTTAAAAATAGCTGCTCTGATGTCTTTGTCTAGTGATTTCAACACCTATATCATCTTCTGGTTGGTACATATTAGTACTTGTTAATAGTCTTTTTCCTTATGAGTTGTTGATGTTTTCTTGATTTTCCATATACAGTGTGGGGCAAAAATAGGCTTACAGCTGTTCACATGCAAAATAATACAATAATAAATAATAATACAAGACTGAACTGCATTTTGCACACTCACAACTGTAAACCTACTTTGGCCCCAGCCCGTACTGACTGATTCGGACTGTGTCATCTGGATTACAGCATTATGTCTTGTGACTTTTCATCCACTGTGTGTTCACACCCAGTGCGCATATCCAGGAGCCACACTATTTGAAGCCAGGCTGAGTGATATAGAAGGAAAAAACTATGAAATTCATTGTTAGATCATTCCTATTTTGAGTTTTGGCTTCTTTCTCTTATTTCCTGGTCCTTTATTATTTTCAAGAATCCTCAGACAGCTGCTGCATGGAGTGTTTCCCATTTTTTTGTTACATTCAGAGGAAGAGACAAAATGGAATGTATTTATACCATCTTATCTAGAAACAGAACTAGCTTACACTAAATGTTAATGAACTATATATTATAATTAAAAGCAGATTATTTCTGCTTTTCCCCCTTATAATTAATAACCAGTAATTATTTCCCCCCTTATAATTAATAACCAATAATTATATTATCAAAGATAAATGAAAGAAACAACAGCTGTAGTCCAAGAACTCTGTTTTCATGTTCCAATGAACTTTGAGAAGAAAAGCAATCCTCATTTGGATTTAAGAACATTAGTAAAAACTTGAAAAAAGGGTCTGAGAATTATAAATTCAAACTTGTCCTTGAAAACAGAGTCACTACCTTGTCATAATTATACAGCCCTTCAGTCGTCTTAAAAAATAGCTTACAATATCACAATGTTTATAGTTTAAATAAAACTATATCTTTACTAAGAGTAATCTCTCAAAAACACTTTGATCATACCCATATTATATCTACACAAAATACAATTTTTCATTTTGATATTATGTAAATGATTACCTTTGTGTTTATTCAGAAGTCTGTAGCCTTCACAGTATCTGCCTGGTGAAGTCATCATCTTGGCTGTGTTGATATAAGAGTATGTTGCCGCAAAATCAAACTCCTTTGTACCATTCCACCAACCTTTCTGTTTAGCATAGTTTCTCATGTCTGGGTGTTCCCGATCAATCTTCGTTGTTATTGAAAGCTGATTAGAAATATTACGAACTCCCTCTGTTTTCAAGGAAGAGGTAAAGGGAGAAGAAAAGTGATATTTAACATAATGTAGCTATCTGTACATTATGATTCTTAATCACTATTTAAATGTGAACATACACTTCTAAATTGCATTATCATATGCATCTATTACATATTCAAAAAGATAAATGAATTGCTTTTTAAATTAAACTTCTTTATTTTGATATAGATCCACATGCAATTTTAAGAAGTAATAGAGAGATCTTGTATACACTTTACCAAGTTCCTTCCAATTGTAACTCCTTTATAATATCACAAACAAAATATTGGTGTTGATATAGTTAAGATGTAGAATATTTTTATCACCACAAGGATCACTCGGGTTGCCATTTTATAGCCACACTTACTTGGCTTCCACCCCAAGTGCCTTACGAAACCCAGGCAACCACTAATCTGTTATCTATTTCTACAACTGTCATTTAAGAATGTTATATAAGCCCTGGCTGGTGTAGCTCAGTGGATTGAGCGTGGGCCCACAAACCAAGGGATCACAGTTTGATTCCCAGTCAGGGAACATGCCTGGGTTGCAAACCAGTTCCCAGCAGGGAATGCATGAGAGGCAACCATACATTGATATTTCTCTTCCTCTCCTTCCCTTCCCCTCTAAAGATAAAGAAATAAAATCTTTTAAAAAAGAATGTTATATAAATAGAATCATGCAGTATATAACCTTGTGGCTTTTTTCATTCAGTATAATTCTCTAAAGATTCATTCAGGTTATTACATGTGTCAGCAGTTCATTCCTTTTTATTGCTGAGTAGTATTCTATCGTATGTATGTACAATAGTTTGTTTAGCCATTCACAAGTTAAAGGACATCTGAGTTGCTTCCAGTTTTTGGCCATCATGGAAAAAGCTGCTATACATATTCATGTACAGATTCTCGTGAGATTGTAAGCTTTTATTTTTCTGGGCAAATGCATACTACTGCAATTGCTAGGTTTTATGGTAGTGGCATGTTTAGTTTTTTGAAAAACTGCCCAACTGTTATCCAGAGTAGCTGTACATTGTTACAGCTCCTGAATCAGTGATTCAGTGTCCACATTCTTACAAGCATTTGGTGCTGTCATTTTTTATCTTAACCATTCTGAGAGAAGTATAGTGATACTTTATTGTGATTTTAGTTTGCTTTCCCCTAGTGGTTAATGATGCTGACCCCTCACTTTACAGAATGACTCCCAACCAGCTCCAGTCAGGGTTGGGCCTATCTTTTTCAGAAGAATACATTTATTCATTTCTCTTGCATGTGGCACACTTCATAAAATAAAAAGTGCTAATGATACAAGCAGGGCAATTATCATAATAAGAAAAATAGTCTAAATTCAATTAAATGTATTTTTTTTACTGTTGTATTAGTAAACATACATGCAAAAATATAAAACGTCCACTAAAACTGGCAACATTTGTGAAAAATAACATCCAAATCCTCCAAAGCTCAAGGCTACCTTCATGAAGCCCTTCTGAACTCCTCTGGCTCATGGTGACTTTTACTTCTCTAAATGTTTACAGCATCTGTGTGTCTGTATCATTTACGTATCATTTAATATTTTCATATGGGTATCTTATCTCCCTTGTAAAACCATGAGACCCAGGAGGCATGTACACAAGAAGTATGTGATCGTGCTTGAGCGCAGGACTGTACTCTAGTGAAAGGACACTGAACTGAGAGTCCGGATGGGAAGATTTAAGTTCTAAGGCTTTCACCCACTGCCTTGAGTACTTCACTTCACATATACAGATTTTCTCACTTGAAAAATAAGAGGAATATATGATCACAAAGAAACCATGGAAAACAAAGCAAAGAATTCTAAAACAATCAAATTGTGTTATTTTACTCTTATACCAATTACCAATTTTTGTACACTTTACTATTGTACCAACATACGGTTTCCAACCACTAACCCCACAAACATCCATCTCCACTCAATACCACTCCCCTTTCTTACTGCTATCCCCACACATGATGAAATTTTGCACTTCAGCCCAAAGTTAAAAAGAGAAAGAAACTGTAAGGAATTATTAAAAACTGGGAAAGCACTATAAAACGGCCAACAGCTACTGTACAGAAAATATATACAGGTTTTTAAATTTTATATTAAAGACATGAAAAAGAAATAATGTCTCCTTTTCAAGAAAGCTCCTTATAGTGCTCTCATTGTATGTTCTTTACAATTTTTTCATTTCCCCTGTAGTTCAACCTTCAGTACACCAAATTATAAATCTTGAAAGACAATTAAATGCAATGTCTGCAATTAAGGGGGCATTTATTAACTGTAAAACAAATGATGAAAAGTCGTCCATACCTTGTACTTTTTCTGCCGCCCAGTGCTTCCCTGCAGTCTCCAGAACCCAGGCCTCATTCCTATCGGCTATCAGGAAACTGTTGTGATAGCTAAAGGCCATGCCACCCTCCGAACAATTTCCACCCTGGCCGTATTTTTCTAATAAATCAACAATGACATCAAGGGCTTTTTCAGCTGTATCAGCTCTTTCAAGGCCAAGTCTAAAATAAAAATATTAAAGTTCTTAGAACAAAAATAAATTCCCATTATTTTGCTTAAATAGTTCAATGCATATGAGATTTTGTGCCTATATTCAAAATAAATATTTCTTCAAGTTAACAGATAAACTAACATCCAACTCCAAAACTGCTCCTCCTGAAGTCAGTTTGCAACTGAAAACAAAGACTGTGGAGTCAAATAGGTCAATGTTCAAGTTCCAACTTGGTAATTTTTTGTCAAGTTACTTCATCTCTGACCCTCAGGTAGCCTCTCCCAATCAATGATATTTGAAAGTCTTTACACTGCATTCCAGTACTTTACAGCATTTTTCACATAAACTATATGAAGTATCAAAGTCCAAGAAAAATGAAATATGTAAAAGTTACACCAAAATTTAAAATTTAGACAAGTTCTATAGTGCAAAAAATATAACAGAAAAATAACCTGACAAGGTCCATGCCCAGTAGCGCCTCTTCATCAGAAACGTCTTCTCTTCCCCAGACAGCTTCATTCCCAATGCAAACTCCATGCTCATTGGCTCCCATTTCTGCTCCCCATAACCAAGCTGGGCGACTGAGAACAACAGCATATGTTTCAGGAACTTGATCAATTTCTATGTAAGTACACTGTAAAGAAAGTCATAGCAACAACCATAAAACCAAGAAATAAAAGTTGTCAAAGTCTGGAATCTTAAAAATCAATTGGAAAGCACAACCGTTATGAAAGAGATGAGCGATTATAACTAAATTGAAGATTTCAATAATAAAGTCATTACCCACAACATGGGTAATGACTTACTCAGAAGTGACCCTGAAGCATTTATTCAAGTCATATATTTGCTGAGCATTTCCTATTATAAAGTACTTTGTTAAAAGATGAAATCAGACACAGATCTTTTAAGAAACTAAGACTTGTACACTAAGATACAACAAAACATAAAGTATAAGGGCCATGAAGAAAAGGCAGATGAGCTAATAGAAGCTCAGGAAAGAGATGGTTTCTAACTGTGAAATTTTTAAACATTTTGTAAAGGAGGATATATGTGAGTTGAAGCTCAAGGAAGCAGTTCTTAATCTCAATGCCCAGTATTGCTTGGTTAGTGATATCAGTTCCACATGGTAGCCCTTAAATACAGGCTATTGTCACAGAAGCCCATCCATCTGGTATGTCCACAGCAGTGAAAAGAATGAGAACCACTGGTTTACAAGATAGGCTAGATTTAAATATAAAGAGACAAAAGTGGAAAGAGACCTAAGATGAATAAACAGTCACAACCAAAGAAAAACTGGCCTAGTATACAGTAAACATCTAGTATTTAATATATTAGAATACCAATGAAATCTAAAAAACATGTTAGCAATTAAAGTACAATATACAACTTTAATGTCCATGTTAAGTGGAATTTTAATTTAAAAATTGAAAGAATCCTTTAATTCTACCAAATGGCTACATAAAATTCATGTTGATAGTATTTTAACTGGGCCCAATAAAAATCTTATTCCCAGAAAATAAAACTGTGATTCCAGAAACTGGAATAACTTTTCCTATTCTACACCAATCAGAATCCTTTTTGTCCACCAAACTCCTGGTAAAGCCTTCCTTCACCCCTAATCTGAATTAATTATTCCTTTTGCACTGCTGTCACAGCTTGCTGCTCTTAAATTTCAAATTTAGACCATTACACTTTATAATGGGGTTAGTTACAATTCCTCTACTAAACTCTAAGCTTGACTGCAGGTTTTTAAACTCTGTTCTATTTAACACACTCACATATAGTAAGTATTCAAATATTTGACCAAAAATTAACTATTATTATATTGTTATTTTACCTTCCTCCAAATCATAAAAGGCTAGCGTCTACTTCTGATTTAAATTATTTTTCAAATTTAGATTCTTGAATTTGTAACTTTTATAGTATCTGCAAAATAGCTAGCTAATAATAGAAAAAACTTTATGATATTTTTAAAGAAGCATATTACTAACAAAATATGTACTTTACCTACCTTAAGATGTCCTCTCAGGTTATCATGCACTGCTGCAGGAAAGTAAACTACCTCTTGTACTTCATCACAGAGTCTATCTGAATTTTTTCCAAAAATTATCCTATTTTCAACTGTTGCTGGAGGTAATGCCACGAAAGTGTCACAGGAACAAGGTTCCATTTTTTAACTGAAAATCATATAAAAGGTCCAAAATAAAAAGATAAAAGCATTTTTAAGTGCATACAAAAGTTTAACTTAATGACCAAAGGATATTATTACCATACTAACACAAGCCGTTAGTTGATGTTTTGGACTTCATATACTGTAGTACAAAACTCAGTAAGAAAATGAGTTAGGAATGAATCTTGTAGTACAAGAATCAAAAGGAAATGCACTGAGCCTGGCCAGGCAGCTCAGCTGGTTAGAGCACTGTCCTAAAAGGCCTAGGTCGTCTGTTGGATCCCCTGTCAGGACACATACAAGAATCAACCAATGAATGCATAAAGAAGTGGAACAACAAATCGATAAATCGATGTCTCTCTCTCTCTCTCTCTCTCTCCTTTTCCCTCTCTCCCTTCCTCTCTCTCTAAAATCAATTAAAATGTTTTTTAAAAATTATAAGGAAATGGCATTGATAAGTACCTTCTTCTAATCTATGTATAGGTCAAATGTACCCTCTAAGATCTTTTTCTCCTGAAGTCTTCCCTGATTCACCCTTGACTATTTCCATATTTGGGAATCCCTATACCTAGTTCTACTTTTGTCAAGACCATATTTTACTATATTTATGTACATATATGAGTCCTTAATGGACTAGGAGATCCTTGAGGGCTGAGACTATGTCTTATTAACTTTGTATTTTCATCACTGCAACTTACAGAAAAGTCCCAGTATTGTGTACCCATTATTTCCTCAAAAAGGAGGAAGGGGTCTCCTTTCAGAAGGAATTTCCTTTGAGCTGGAGAAGAATATACAGATTATAATACTAGTAAGACTGACACTTTGAAACTGACTCACCGAATCAGCCAAATACAAAGAGATTTCAATAAAATTTCAAAATTTCAAATATTCCACAAGAATTTCTTGTCCATAACTTGTAAACCCTGTTTGCAGAATTTAATATCAAGATTATGTGCTCAAGACTGACCATGACCAGAGGAGCGGGGGGAGGGTGATAAGGGTGGAAAGAAGGGAAAGGGACTAGTCAAGGAACTAGTCGTGGACATGGACAACTGGGTAGGGGTTTTTGTGGAGGGTGGCCCTGGCCAGAGGAGGGCAAAGGGGGAAAAATGGGGTCAACTGTAACAGAATAACAATAAAATATTTTTTAAAAGAAAAAGATTATGCGTTCATTTATAATTCAGAAAAACCTTAAATCCTAAATCTTAGAACACTTAAGTGTCTCATAGTTTTTACTGTGCTTCCAGAATGAACACATTGTTTTTACAGTTTTCTTCCTTTATGGTATAATGCCCAAAACTTGAAAATGGTTTTATGCAGACAACTTAAAATAAAATTTAAATCTAATAAATGTTTCATTAGAAAGAAGACAAAATGATTCAAATAGGAAAGAACTTCAGCCTGAAACTCCTAAGAGTTTTTCTCTTTTTTTCAGTAATGGAAACAGAGAAGTCACAATTGCTTCTGTTCTTCTGTGTGTGTATTTCAACCTTTATTTTTTGGATAGCCTTCTATTTGTGTTCCAAAGCAGGTTCTTTATTCTCTCTCTGGCTCCTGCCTCACTGGTAATTATCTCACAAGGCTGTTATGAGAATTTAATAAGACATGTGTAAAGTGTTTTTGCACTACACAGAACATGGAAGACACTCGAATGAAAGCTATTGTTATCATTTGGCAGCTGCGTAAATTTCTTACAAAAGGCATCACACACCCCCCCGCAATAGTTGATTGATGGATCTCCTGCAGCAGCCATGTCCACTCAAAACCTTGAAGTCTCGGGGCCATAAATTGTACTAGGTGATCTGATCTCTTTAACGGATCGTAGGGGAAGTAAAGGAAACATGCACCCAAGCCCATTTCGGAGGGGAAGTCTTGAGAGCGTTTATTAACACCTACTGTACATGTATCATTCAACAAACGCCTATTGAACATCTTCCTGCACCAGGCACCGTGCAGCTGTCAACAAAACGGACAGCCCTCGCACTTGTAGAGCTGACATTGTATTTCATATGCTTTATCACCTACTGGTTTTCAGAAACATTTTCACAAACGTGCTACGTATTGCGAGAATTGCTACTTTCATAACACAGATGAGAAAATCGGTGCAGACTGGTTCATGTAACTCGAGTCAGAGTTCACAGGGTAAAGGGCTCGAACTTAAAACATCTTGCAGAAGAGCCGATGCCCTGGCCGCACATAATTTGGGCCGTTGAAACGGCGCCGGCGCAGCAGTGACCCGGAACCCCTCCGAGAGCCCCGTGGTCGGAGCGCGCCGCACTTCCCGTTTCCCTACCTCGACTACGCACAACTCTCTCAGGTGCGCGCACCTCACCCGGTCTCAGAGCAACTCAAGTGAAACGGGAAAAAGGTGAACCTTGGCTTGTAGAAGCGTTCGTTGTTGTCGGAAGCAGTTACCTTTCGACCGGAAGTCCTGAGTGCAGCGAATACGCAGTTCCGGTTAGGCGGCAGAGTTTGTTTACGTTGCTCTCAGATCTAGTGGCTGTTTTCTCTGTATTATTCTCCAAAATGGGGAAATCTTTCGCCAATTTCATGTGCAAGAAGGACTTTCATCCCGCCTCCAAATCCAACATCAAAAAAGTGAGTAAGGGGAGCTGGGGAGGGTGCTGGCCGTTTGACTGGGTTTCCAAAAGGTGCTGGAAATGAGAATGGTGGTGTCTCTAGGATCCCAGAGTTAGTCGCCTCTTCTCCAGGCCTGAAGCTCTAGTGTTCTCGCACTTTCTCCCCCACTGAGAAACTCGTTGATGAAGCTGGTCCTCGAAGTGTATTCTGCATCAGCCCGGAAACAGGCGGTCCTGGTCTGCTCTGTCGGTTCCGTCGGCGAGATTTTAAGTCCCTAAGACAGGAAAACTGGTAGTAGGGATTCCTCATTACTTCCCTCAGCAGATTCTAGGTTAGCCTTTTCGAATCCCAAGGATCGCTGTTTCGGAGCGCTGCTGTTGTGTACAAACTACAACTTCCTATTTATTCAAGGTAAGGTAAATCTCAGAACAGAAATAAAAGCACCCCCTTCCTCTTCTTATTCTACCCGATAATATAGCACCTTTCTGACCTCTTTTATGACCTCTTTAGTTTGGCTTTTTAAGCAATGAATTATATGTCTACTAGGTTCGGTAAAGAAAAACTGTGCTCAATACAGTAGAAGTGAAAAGCGGAAGTGAAGCAGGAAGAATCCGAACAGTGGAATCGGACCTGGGTTCTAGTTATTAGGGCACAGTCACTTTTAGTCTTGATACTTTGCACAAAATAGTTAATATCCCTCATTCCCGTCTCCAAGATTATAAATTAAGGATGATCAGTATCAGCTGCTTTGGATGTGAAATTGGTATGAGGATTAAATAAGATGGTTTAATAAACGGTTTTAAGTGATGATTTTAGCAATCAGCTTCTGATTATATTGGCTGCCTCAGGCTTACCATGTCTCATAAGCTTACACAGGACATTATGTTTGAAGCCCACTAACCACAACAGTTTTTAACCTAGAATGAATTACTTATTTCCTTAAGTAGTAATAAGTGGCATTTTAAAGTGGCTTTGAAGAGATAGTGATCAACATTGATTCTATGGCATGCCTCTGAGGCTTTCTGTGGCATGCCTCTGAGGCTTTCTACTTTTCCTAACTTAAAAAAATGTTTGTGTCTTTGTACCTCAATTATTTCAGGGTGTTCACTCTTGCAGCGGTGTCCAACCCATGGCTTACAGGCTACACGTAGTCCCAAATGGCTATGAATATGGCCCAACACAAAAACATAAATTTACTTAAAACATTATGAGATTTTTTGTTTGTTTGTTTTTGTTAGTGTTTGTGTATTTAATGTGTGGCCCAAGACAACTGTTCTTCTTCCAGTGTGGCCCAGAGATGCCAGAAGGTTGGACATCCCTGGTTAGATAAAGGCTTTGAAATAAGATACTGTGAACCTAGTGCTTAGACTTTGAACCTAGCACTGTGCCCACCACGTGGACAGGTGCTCAGTAAAATGTTAGTTGCCCCTACACGTGTACTTATTCTTAGCCTGCTCCAAAAATATAGGTGTTACCCAAGGTTTCATTCATGGCCTATGTCTTGCTTATTCTGTATGTTTTCCCAAGCAGTCGTGTCCAATTTTGTGGTTTTAACTGCCCTTTCTTTGCTCATGACTCTCAAAGCTACAGCCCCAAGTCTCTCCCTCCAGCTTGAAACACCTCAGAAACAACTCTATGCCAGACAGTTTCATCTTGATACCCCACTGGCACCTCAAGGTCAACATATCTGAAACGGAACTTACCTTTCACCCAAAATCTGCTCTTCTTTTATTTACTTACTGTCTCAGATGGGTAGTAAATATACAGTGTCTGGCACAAATAATGCCCCCTTTTTATTACAAAATCTTTTACTACAAAGTCATAAAATGTAATTCTGTAACAATATCACACTCAAACATACCATATGACATTTTAGGTGACATGTTCCAATTAAAACTATAAATTATTATACACATATTATTACCCTACCAACCACACTCAGGCAGGTGTTACTTCGGCTGGACCCTGTAGGTAGTAGTGTTATGGGTGGGATGAGAGAGACCTGAGTCAAGAGGCTCTTTCCCCTGCCTCTGTTCTTGCCTCACTCACAGGGCATGAATTAAAGTGAGAGACAAATAAGTATAGTGGAAATGAGATAGCAAGTTCATTTATGAAACACAGGAGCACAAAGCTGCAGGCAGGCACCCATAAAGTTGTTAGTAAGTTTATTCTGTACCCTTGAGCCAAGGCTACAAGTGAGTACTTAGCTAGTCTAAGTATGCTGACTATTAGGGTTCTGGGGTTACACAACTTAACTGGCTTCTAGATTCCCCTTTCCTTCCCCCCTTTGGGAATAATGTACAGCTACAAAGGCTCTCTTTCCTGGCTAGTAAAGGCTTTTTGTCTTAGTGAAATGGTGGCAGAGGTCCCTTTCCTAGCATAGGCCCCCTTCTTCCTCCTGTGTAATTCCTGCTTGTGATGTTCAG